AACAGCTCCATAGAATAGTCGGATACATCACCCTTTTTGTAAAAAAAGGAGAAGAGAATTACTGAGTCCCCATTTATGATTACTCATTAGAAAATATTAATTACCATTATTTTGAAAACTAAAACACGCATTCTGTCCGTTTCATCATCATCAGCAGCAGCAGCTATGTTAGTGATATGAAGGTGAGAACGATAAAGAACCAGAACTAGAGATATAGAGAGAGGGAGAGAGAAGAGAGTGTTTATATTCGTATTTCTTGTTTACTAAACCATATTTGTCTTAATTAGAATGTCTATTTGCTTATTTGTTCTTTGTCTAGATTGTCTGTTTATTATCTGATGTGATGTTAGGTAAATATGGTTGTACAATATTGTTCATCAATGGTGTGATTGTAACTAAGTCCCATTTATTAGCAAACGAGATTTGTTTATTAGGAAATAATTTCCATCTGGTTCGACTTATCACATAGTGTAAATATTATAGCATGTTTACTTATTTATTAAAGTGTACTTTACTTGATAGTCATTCTCCACCCACTCAATGTTTAGATCACTCAAATTCATCTCCAGTTATTAATTCCATTCTTTTGTGTAAAGTTCTTTTGTAAAGAATAAAGAGTAATTACTTTAGTAGGCTAACATCATATAGTGAACCATGGAAAATTAAGGAGTTGTAGACAGATGTTTCATTCAACTTCGTGTATACACGATTTCACATTGGTCGAACTTGAGATCCTTAGGTCTTTTATTAGATATAACACCTGTATATCAAAAACTGATTGAATTTAAAATGTGAACTGTTGGATTTTGATCCAGTGGTCTAACAAAATTGAGCTCGTTTAAAAACCTGAAGACCACATTATCGGCCCAGTTTTGGGTAGGGTAATGGGTATACAATGAATCAGAGTCCCGAGTGAAAACAAATAACAACTGCTTAGTAACCTCTGGTTTTGCATGTCTGACGTTACTTGATGAAGAAAATTATACTTAGGCTATTTTAAGCTAGGTATGCGTCAACCAGTGTAGAACTGTAAGCCTCAATTATAGGATTACAGTTAAAAATAGAAATGAAGAGAAATCCCAACTGAAATTGTACTTTTAAATGAAAATAGTGATATGAGTAACAGTCACTTCGTTCTGAGTACGATGAGTTGTATCAAGTCACCTAGAAGTGATTTTTATGCTGTCAAATGATAAAATACATCAGACCTTTTAATCAATTCTGTCGTTATATAATCAGCGCAGTCCACATTTCAGTATATTAGTTGTCAAAGGTAAGTAATTCTTGTGCTAATAATAATGATAAATACTAAGAAGGGATGCCTTAAAGAGACTCAATTATATGGTATTCTATAACTGGATGACTTATGAAAATCGTTTTCTCCACGGACCGACTTCAGTATCGAGATCTTTGTAAACCTAGGAGCACTGGGTAGATATGCGTGATTCTTTACCCAACTGCATTGACGACTAGTTAGAGGATTGAAAACAGGAGAACTTTGTCTAAATGAGAAAAAAGCACTTTTAAACTGATGTTTTCATATTCCAACTACAGTCAATTAGTAGTATGTTGTGGGGTTATGAGTGTACAATTTTTAGGAATACCCAAACTACGAGGTAATCGTTAATCTAACACTGTTTAATTTTCAAGACGGCCACCAGTTTGTAATGAAAATCAACACACAAAAGTTTCCGTATTCAGTTTATAGAAAATCTTATTCTTTAGTTAATATTCACCCTTGTTCATACACACATATGTATATTCTCTTATATATATATATATATGGTTGTATATGATAATTTCCTTTGTAAAACAAACTCATTTATTCAATTTTCTTGTTTTCCCCATCTCTATCGCATGGTTGAATAAAACAATTACTAACTAGTAACAAATTGTACAAACTAGACTTTACTCATTTTTTTCTGTATCAATTTAACATTCATTTTATTTTCGTCTTTCTTCTTCTTCTTAGCTTATGGATTGTATTATTGTTGCTGTTGTTTTTTGTTCCTTTCTTTGTCTTGAGAAGAATTTCCAATTATTGCATAATTATCAGTGTAATTAGGTAGGTAGGTAGGTAGGTAGATTATAGAGTAAATTTATTATTTTTTTCCTAGAAAGAAAAATCTTTTTGCATTCATCCATATGAAGCTTCTTTTGCCTAAATTTGTTATTTTCATTACCATTATTGCTATCCACAAATATACAAAAACGATGTGGAGACCTAAATTATTTTCAGTGTTGTTTTTTTGTTTGTTATTTAATTCATCGTCTTCTTCTTCTTCCTCAGATGATTGTCTGTTTGTGTTTATGTTTTAGTCCCAAAGTTGATCCGATGGGTTTTTGCACACATTTATCTCTTTTGAACTTTGTTTGCAATCATCTTGACCAAGTCCTTCTTTTGTCTGCTTCTTTTCTTTCATTTTTTGCCCTTCGCTGCTTTCATCTCGTCTTTTCTACTCCTCTGCAAATGATCGGTTCTCTTTTCTTCTTTGGGACTACGGTTACAGTTAGCAATTACCATTATTCTGGGCATACATATGTGTAAAAATACGGACTAATAATTCTCCAGTGTGGTAGTTTTTATCCTTTTTATTTCGTGCTACTTAAAAGTATAATAAGTAATACTCCAAAAGGTTTATTTTACAAATTATTGTAATTGATCATGAACTCATTACGTTAACTTTTATACGAACATAATGTATCAGTACACCAGTGCTATTTGGTATTACACTTATTACACTTAGTACTAAAATTCCTGTCTGAACGGCTGTATTGAAGTTGAACTTATGAAATAATCATTTAATGTTTAAATTCAGGCATTATACTCATTGAACAGGGTATACATTTTATTACTACATCCCTACATCCCTACTGAACTAACCAACATCTACTGTAGTATAAATGACAACAAATAAGTACCCTTAAAATCTTTTCTCGTAGTTATCCACAATGAAAGAAATTGTTTATTCTAATTTGGTTTAGTTTCACAGTTTTAGTAATTTATATTATTTTTGAAATACTGAAATCATTATCGCAAATATATTGATGACTTCCTGAGGATATTCCCTTCTTTGATGTTCAGAACTGCAACTGTTCGGTCTGTTTTGGCATATTTGTTTTGATATTGTTGTTTTGTCAAATGTTTTCAGTAAATTTGGAAAATGGCCCTCTTGGCTACTTTCAACCATCTAACACCTGATCATCGTGTATGTGATGTTAAGTCACTCAGATTAGTGGCTACATTGTAATTTGATCGATAGTATTTTATCAGCACTATTAGAACTAGATAAACATAAAATTGGTAACTACTCAGCAATTAATCATCGTAAACTTTCAAATATGCTCTCCTAGCAAGAAAAAAGGACATTCATTCTTCTTTTCTGAATGTGAATGTTGTTTTTTCTTCATCGGTGTACTTCACAATCCACACACATGTATACCTATACATACACAAGTAAAATGAAGCGTCTTTTCCTTTTGAGCTCATTCTAAGAAAATTAATGACCCTAATCTGTTAATGGACTCATTCAAAAATGAAAATTTTATTGGATCACTTGCGATTGTTGTTTGTTAACTCGAATAGGTTGTTCGTTTGATATTAGATGAGGGAGATCTATTTATTTATTTAAACACAAATATTGGTAAAAAAGGGCAACAGATACATATGCGCCACACAAATCTCATTTGATTTGTATGAGGGCTGTGATACTGCCCAGGTGCACAAACTGAAGCAGGTGCTTTTCTTAGGGGACCACACACGGAGCCTTTGACCTAATGGTCTGATCCACAAGGCAGTGGAGCATCGTGAGGAGATGCAGTCCCATGGTAGCCGGTGACCATCGATCGGTTCATACGCCATTTGTTCCCTACGGATATTGGAACACATGTGCACCATTGGTTTAGAATCAGGGTTTTCCAACTCCCCTAGGTGGACTATCCGTGTCCATCAGCCCGGTTAAAGCGCCGGACATTCGCTTTTCGTCCTCTCAATTTCGTAAACAACAGTAATGCCACTGTGAGAAGGCAGTGAGTAGGACTTCCCTGTCAGAGGCTGTATACACGTGGTCATGTGAAAGCATTTGGAGAGGGAGAGCGAACTCTCCCCACTCTCGGCCGTATCAAGGCATTCGGGGGCATGGGGCAAGTACACTCGATTGATTCTTTTTTCTCTCCAATGCAAGTAGACGGGTTATGTCAACATTTCATTGGAGAAAACCCAATTTTCTCCTGAATTCATTGAATTAGGTCTTTCAATAGGTAAAAATGAAATTTTTAATCTGTTGAATATTGTAATCCTAATGTTTAACATGCCACCCCGTTTTGATACTGGAACCTTTGCTCATTCGAAATCGATCATTTAATTATTAATCTTGTTTATTATGTGTAAACGTAAAGCATTCAGAAATCCCATTTAGAGATGCATCAACTGATGCTTTAAACAAGAACTGAGAGATAAATGATTTGAATGCTGATCAAAGGATAAAGGTTTTTGTTAACAGGAAAGAAGGTGACTAGAAGGATAAAATATAAGACGTACGTATAATAAAGTAATTCTGATTGATTTCAATCCTAAATCAATAATAAAATGAGTTATCATCGTGGAGTGATGACAGCTGGAAAACGATCGAATAACTGTCCAACATTAGTCAGTTTTATCGTCCTAATTTTTGAGAGTGAATTTGGATGAATCGATTTCAACACAATGGCCTGATAGCAACGTAGTCGCTGTGATATCTAAGTGTACTGATTATAGTCTTTAACGTGTTTGTAAGTGTACACTGCTGAGGTATCCCAAACTAAAATTGAACAGCTTTCTAGTATCCCTGCTTTTCAATGATCCTTCTCCAGGTGATATCAATGCTTAATGATAGTTAATATCAAACTATTATTTAAATGTTTTTCATTTACACCGAAAATTGTGATCTTCTCCCCTTTGTTACGAACTATTTATACGATTACTCATGCTTTTCTTATAAATCATATCTTTTTTTTTACAGGACCATGTTTTTTGACAAGTTTGACAGATAGAGAATTAAATCCAACCAAATCATGGGGTGATCATATTATTTTTGATTGTGACGCTGTTATGACTGGAACTGATGGTTCATTGGACAACTTAATTTATCAGTGGGAATTTATCAGTAATACTAACAATAACATAAATAATAATAATAATAATTTACGATCTGTTAAACAAGTGAGCAATAGTGGATCAGATGTGTCGAATACTATTATTCATAGACAACGTCTTCTAGTTCGAACACCGTCTATGGTTGGTACAGTTTCTCATAACAATTATGATAATGTTAATAATAAGTTTGATTTGAGTCAATTTCATGAATCACAACTACGTATTGATAAACTGACGTTAGATCATAACGGAGAATATCAATGTACTGTAAGAACAAGAATAACTACATCTGGAGGTGGAGGAGGAGCAACAATGAATAATTATCAAATCCCACCAATGATTACAAGACAATTTCGGTTGACTGTCAAATGTAGGTCTATATTTTTGTATTTATTAGAAACCTTAATCGATTTATTTAAATTAATATAAGTTGAATTTTCTGTTTTAATTACAAAAGTTTTTCATTGGTTGTTATGAATGCAGTTTTTGTTGAGAAGTGAAGTAAACTGCTTTTTCCCTACTAGTAATACTGTTAAATATCTTCTGTAGACACTATGTAACATCCTCTGATACTAGTCACAACTAAATTTGTCCACCCGGACAAATGCAATTCAACTTAAAGGAGAGAGAGATGACAAAAGAGACGCTCGATGAAAACTCATCTCTCATTCAAACACTGAAGTAAAAACACCATTTCGACGCACACAATTACACACTTATCTACTTTTGATTACTTTTTAGTTATATCTTAGTAACTATATAACTTAAACAAATATCATAATGAACAGAAGTCTTAGCGAATTATTCTTTGTTAGATTTTGAGTTTTATCATTTACTCTTCAATCTCATTTGTTTCTTTTAAACTATATTTGATGGATACTGTTAGTTTAACATGGTGGTTGGAGGTGGTCAACAGGTTTCCTGTTACCCTAATATATATAGTGCCCGCAGTGTCGAGCCACCTAGACTGATGGCCACATTGCAACTTGATCGATAGCATTCGATCAGCACTAAGGACCTGACACGCATGAGATTGATCACCACCCAGTGATCAATCAATTGTGATACTGTTAGTTTGCTTTCTATTCTAATGATTTCTTCTCTTGTAATACTTATGCGAAATATAACAATTTTGGTTGGTACATATCAATTCATGATGTTACATTATTTATGACAGAGTGATCGACTGTAGTCTGAAGCCTTCATCACCATTAGCGGAATCTTTCTCATTGAATACACACCACAGAATGCTTTCAGATTCATGACACATAACTGAGTGAATTATAAGGCTATAATATGTATACAAAATTAAAACTCTTAATTCTATGCGTGATTTGACCATATGACGCATCTACAATGGACTGAATATTATATGATTGACTTAGTTATTTAGAAACATTATCTATTTATATTATAAATTAATCGAATGAGAAGTTAGGATTAATCGTAAGCCTTTCCAAAAATAGCAATGAGCAGTTGAACAGAATTCATGAAATAGAATGAATTTTGTTCTGCTTCAATTATTTTTCTTGCTTCATTAATAATAAAAGGGTATTTAGTTGATACGGTCGGAGTATTATGCTTACTTAGAAGATTGAAATACTCATTGAATATATATCGATGTTGAAATACTACAGACATCTTGACTCGAGTTATTCAGATGACCAATTTTAATGATTGAAAATATCATATGATATGGTTCAAGATAAGTTATAAAAATGGACAAATATCGCTAATTCCTTTTAGTAGTTGAATTGATGAGTCAATCTAAGCTAGACCACCATGAAAAACCTGGAAACACTAGACGGCTGTTTCGTCCTAGTTTGGGACTCCTCAGCGGTGTGCGTTCACGATCCCGCACTCGGGATTTGAACCCGGGACCTTCAAGTTCGCGCGCGTACACTTAACCTCTAGACCACAGTGTTAATATCTAGCTTCCATCGACCCATGAATAGCTATGCAACCATTCATCCATTGTCTGAGGTAGATACCTGTCTCTACCCAACACGGATTGAACTCCACTGGTCATTGCTTCTCAGTAGAACTCCAGGAAATTATCTTGGAGCCAGTCATTAGTGAGCACATGACGACCATGATCAGAATGGGGTTTGTAGAGATTGCAGTAATTTTAATAGTTGAATTCATGAGTCGATGTAAGCTTACATCATGAATTCAACTATTAAAATTACTGAGATCTCCACAAACCCCATTCTGATCATAATTTATTTTACGTTAGACAATACACATTATCCTATTAACTCTTATTTTCCTCTTTTCATGGTATCTTTGATGCGTTTTTGAGAATGCACTACTGTTTGGTTGAATGGTTTTTGTAAAGATCGCATATAGTTTAAATGTACTTTCCACTACTAACTGATATTATGTGTAGAAACGGAGTGACTATCGATAAGGTGTTTTTTCCCCGTAGATTATAAGATTGTTTACTAGCGTTTACTCACAAATCGTCACAAAATAGTATTAAGGATCTCCAAAGCTTCAGCATTTTTTGTCATTTGAAACAACATTTATAGAGATTTATGGTCAATTCTTCTCACAGGTGATATTTTTGTATCATAACAACTGAATAGAAATACTTCACATTTACATGGCGCTATATATATATATATATATATATATATAGATAGATAGATAGATAGATAGATAGATAGATAACGCAATGGTGTTTGAAGCAAGGATACTGGGTTCGAGTTCCAGAGTGAACATCAACTCTGAGATGCAGGTACATCCAGCTGACGAGTCCCAAATAGGACGAAACGCTTGTCAAACTGGATTCCACTGCTAGCCACTATCCATCTCTACTTGTTATTTTCTTTCTTTTTTCCAAATTATATAAATAGATAATAATTTCTTTATGAATTTTAAAATTTAACTCTTTTATAATCTTTATTTTTTATATTATCATTACGAATACTTTATTTCTTTAACACATGTACCATGAACTCGTTTAATTTGCGCACATTCAAAAATTAATCGTTGATTGCTATAACAACAATAAAAACAATGGTAACAATATTGTTGAAATTAGTCATGATGTATACAATAATTTTAAATTAGAATACCATACAATTAAGTGAGATTAAATTAAACAATCGAATAACCAAAGAATAATACAGGTGAAAAAACAGAATATTTTCTACATGTAACTGACATAAGGCCCTTTAGAAGAATAGTTTGTTCATATAAAGAAACTGAAAATTGCAGACTAAACGATTAAACTGTTTCAGTCAGTCAGCTACAACTTAGGACCAGGCACATTTATGCATCGGTCCAAGTTGCCATACCTCGTTAGCATAACAAGATGAACACCGGATTCATAGAAATAGTTAATTTAGATTAATCTGTTTATTAGGTATGAAATGTATAATCTTTGTTTAAAATATAAATTATTCACTATAAAATTTTTATTTGAAGTAATGACTTCATTTTGTAACAGTATGTTTCGAATAAATATGTCAATCTAAGTAGTGGTTCTTGATCCCAATATTCTGTCATCAGTGTAGATCACTCTCCTTACTCACCAGATCTACTCATCTACATGAAATTTCTCAGAATGTAAAATAGTCATACGTGCCTAACATTTTGAGAATGTGAAGACGATAACAAATGAAACAATAATGTAACTAAAGAACTTAACTTCGATGAATGTTTTACACAGTGAAGGTTAGGACCGAGCAAGTATAAATGCTTCAAAATGAAAAGTATTTTGAACGAGATAAAAGTGACATACCTTGAATTTCATAAAATTAGACTTATATGTTCTCAGTTCGAGTGTTGATAGGACAAATGAGTATACATGTGTATACATAGAAAGTGAGAATACCTAATTTTTAATATCATCTGAGTATTCACCTGACAAACGTCCAGATTCAATGTTATCCTAATCATGAATCTTGTTTACAAAATCTGGCTACAAAAAATTCGTTTCCTATTGATGATTTAAACACTATAGTCAGTGTATATAATTTAAAAAAAAAAAAACAGGTTCTATAGAATACAATATTTATTTATCAACCGTATTCACTCTAAACTGATCTCATTTTTGGAAATTCCCCTCCCAAAAAAAATCAAGTTGAACAATTATTTTAATCATCCTGCATGATTGTTCAGTAGTTGATGTACATAATCAATAGGTGGTTATTCGATTTAGAGTTCAATCATCAGAAATTTCCTTATTCTTTTTGATAGATCTCTGTTTAAATGGTTTCTCTCTTTCAATTCAATTAATATTGTTTGTTTGAATCTTCCCATTGATGTTCTAGGACTGCAACTGGTCAGTCTCTAATTGGCATATGTGAATACTGTGCGTATTGCCTCAATATAGCCTTAATTCACAAGTATGGTAAGCAGAGATGGATAGTGGCTAGCAGTGGATTCCAGTTTGACGCTTGTTTCGTCCTATTTGGGACTCGTCAGCTGGATGTACTTACATCTCAGAGTTGATGTTCACTCTGGGACTCGAACCCAATACCTTTCGCTTCAAACGCCATCGCGTTATCCACTTGGCCACTGAGTCCTGATGGCCACTTGCTTGTGTTCCTCTCTTTGTTTATGTTACTTTATATTCCCTTGCACGCACACTCACATCCAGATACTTATAAATGAGAGTTCATTTATTTACATGTACATATCATTATGATTATCAATCTTCCTTTTACCCCCAATACCTAACAATTGCTCGATTCAGCTTTTTAGAAAAGAATCATTCAGGAGCATAGCTTATCAGATAAGATAGATATATATCCTTTATAAATCTTATATTAATGTATTAGTTTTATTATAGTGTTATTATACATATGTTCATGTATGAGTTTATACAAGTTATATTCATTGATATATCTATTCTTTCTTTCTTTATTCTACTGATATATCTATATTATCAACATTATACCATTCACCTATCTACCTATTCATATACATGCTTACTTACCAATCTAATTCATCATTAGCATTATTCATAAATCTATTATGATTAGCTATATTACTTTTAATATAGATGTTGACAGGAAATAAAAGAGAGAAAGAGAGAGAATGTTATAATGATATGGATACTTTTTGCTCATACTTTAAATATTATCATTGTTATTATGGCTTTTTGTATCAGTGTATAATTTCAAAATGTATACATGATTGTAATCTTATAACTTGTCCTAGTGATTATTTTAATGAATATATATCTACGGAAATGTATTCATAAATATTCTCTTATATGGCATGTATGGTACAATGAATACTTGATGCATAAATATGCATTTATTTCCTACCAAACTTAAACTCAATCGAACTAATACTACTCATTACATCTGGTACAGTAGGTAAAAAACAGGGTTTTTTTTATTTTTTAAATGATAA